AGATTCGCTTCCAAACATTGATATTAATATACGGTAGTAACTGTTTAGACAACAGATCTTGAATATCGAGATAAATAAGTTTATTATCTTCACATTTCAAGTACTTGTTATATCAGAGAATCGAGGAGGATCGTTCAATCTTCGGCACATAGAAACATAGGATGTGTGCGAAGTGAAATTTTTCGTTGTCTACACTGATAAACAAACCTTTTTCATTCTGATGAATCATCACATCTTTCTAACCAACTAGAGTGTGAGTGTGTGTGAGTGTGGCTGTAGATATGAGTGAAGACCAGATCCGCACCCACAGCACACCCTAATAATATGGATGCTACTTTTCAAATTTCTAATCCCATTTTCTGTCCAACTTTAGATATTGAAAAAAAATAAAAAATTGAAATAAATTATTGCTGCTGACCTAAACAGAAAAATTCGAGAATGAAAATTCTATCTTACTCAAAATAGTAAATAGAAAGCTGAAAGATTGATATCATTGATAAAGTTCCATCGTCTCATGTATATTTATACTACATATGTCAAAATAAAATTTCAATGAAAATATTAGAATTTAAACAGTGGTCTATATCAAGTCACTCTTGAGAATGTGGGTATGGATAGACTATCTACTGATATCCACGCTCACATCCATATCCTCATCGAAGGTATGTTATTGATTACATGTAACGGGTGATCCAAAAGTTCCCCGCAAAATATTGCTTCATTTCTCATCGGCCACACCATAACATGTTTTGACAAAATAAAAAAAATACCTGTTCAGAATCTACGTTGAAAGCGCTATGTAACTGCATGTTCAAAAAGTTTCTTGAATGTCTTGCCTTTGAGTAACGGCCACGTCCTTAGATGACAATAAAATATACCACAGCTGTAAGAAGCAACCCACAATAATTGTGGCAAAAGAAACCGATCTTTAAGCAATGCCACAGTATTTTCTACCGAGTTCGTAGAGAATTAAACAACGAATGTAATAGAATATTGTGGGTTGCTTTTTACAGAGTATATTCTAATATCATTTAAGGACGTGGTCATTACTCAAAGGCAAGACATTCAAGAAATTTTTTTTGAATATACAGTTAAAAAGCGCTTTCAACACAGATTTTAAATAAATATTTTTTATTTTTATAAAACATGTTGTAGTGAATGAAAAATGAAGCGACATTTTTCGGAGAACTTTTGCATCACCCGTTGTTTTGATAATTAACTTTCGCCGAATCGCTATTATTGATCGAACGAAGACAATAGTAGACGATATCTGATGTGAGAGAATTCGTCAAATTATAATGCCAAACAATCGAACCAAAAATAACTTGTAGTATAAAATGTCCATATCTAGATCACAACTATTTCACCTGGATGGGTGTGGGTGTGGGTGTGACGTGATGCTGTGGGATGTAGAAGTCGGTGTTCTCTTCATGCTGATCCACGCCCACACTCTATCAGTCAATGAGGTTGAAACATAATTACTGACCGATCAATGAGCTTTCTTTGGAGCGCGGTCTTCAATGACGATCAAATGCAATTCATCGATCTCTATGCATAAATAATTATTTGAATATGCACCTGAATATTCTGATACCAATCAAGTAGAATATGTTGAGTGAATTCATATATGTGGCGTAATCAAGTTACATATACAAAAATTTTTGTTCAAAAAAAATTGAATTAAATTTGTATAAATTCACATTTATTAGTCTGATTTTTTAGTTTCAAGAACTTTGTTGAATCGATTTAAATTGAATTTTAATGCATTTAAATTAACTAATATGCAATCTAAATCCATTTAAATGAAGTTTTGCTTAATATAAATGGATTTGAATCAAATTTGAATTCATTTAAATGCAATTTAAGTAGTGTTTGATGCGATTTATATCCATTCAAATTGAATTTAAACTAACATAATTTGATTCAAATCAATCTGAGCAAACTAAAAAAAATTAGTTTAATAAAAGTCAATTCATATAAATTTAATTTAAATTTATGATAAATGAATAGGAAATTGACATGCCTACATATATGTTATAGTGTGGATTTAGAGAATAGTCATATTTACAGAAATGACTAGAGTTCTGTTGATATCTATACATGAGGTAAAACAACACGTGAGGGTGGGGTGTGGGTGTGGGGGTGAGTGTGGTTCTTCTAATTTATCTACATCCACACCCACGCTCCACACTCACACCCACATCCACACCCCACACCCCACCCACACCCACCCCACACCCCACACCCACACCCACACTCACACCCACCCACGCCCCACACCAGTGTTGGGCAACTCTGGGTACATACCGCTCCAACTCCAGGTAACTCCACTCCTATTTTGAAAAATTCTACTCCAACTCTATCTATGTACCGCTCCAACTCCATGTAACTCCACTCCTATTTTCAAAAATTCCGCTTCAACTCCAACTCCAACTCTTGATTTATTTTTTAACTCCGATCCAACTCCGACTCCACCTTGTTAGAATGCATCTCCAACTCCGATTTAACTCCAATTCAACTCCGATCCTACTAAGTCAAACTTATTTGAATACAAATTTAAAACGATAATTTTTTCAATATAAATCTATGAATAATATCAATGAGTTGCAGGATTATTATTGTTTTCTAGAATTTTTATTATAAACTTGAAATATCAGTTCAACAAGTCAAGATTACATTTAATAAATGTTAATTTAGATAACATGTCCTTTGACAGTCGATTTCGATGTGGTCTCATCAATAATCCACTTTTTGAAAAGACCCGTTCAGCAGGTGCAGCCGTAGCGGGAACACATAAAACTTTCAATGCTAAACGATGTAAATATGGAAAATGATTCTTTTTAACAAAAATAAGATCAGATTGATCACGTTCATCTTTCAAAAATAGCATAATTTCTTCATTAATTTCATCCATAATATTAATACGCATTTTTTTTTGAAAGCACTTGTGATGTTTCACAATAAGCAAACAGACTCTTTCTTTTTGGTGTAACACTATTGTCGAAAGAGTCTTTTCCAACAAATTGACTGTTGTCAATAGCTGTTGATGTTGTTTCTGCTTCTGCACCAACAGCACCTTGAACATTGGCAGCAGAATAATGAATTTGAAAAGCTACTTGTGCGACCATACGTTTGATCTTGTCACATAAATGATTTCTAAAACAACAAATATATTAATTTTTTGTTTTCAATATATCGTAAGATTTTATGTATTCGTTATATATTTTGTAAACCAATAAAGGACGAAAGATAATAAAAAAGACATGAAAGCTTATGAAATATTTACCAATAATTGTGAGACTTACTTTGTATCTTGAGATAAAGCCGATTGTAAGATCCAACGAAGCCGAAATTGTCTATCAAAAAAAGAAGAAATCAAAAATATATCATCCGAGAAAAGATGAAATGTACTCCGATGCTTTAGATTATCATCGACTGGTATTTCAAGATTAAGTAGAAGACCACCAAATCTTTCTTTTCATGATTTTAAAAGTGCATTACATAATGAACTTGTATATTTGTATAATTTTAATTCATTTTCTAAATCATAATGTATTCCAAGTATACTTGGTACTACAAGTGATATAGACACACATTTTTCGGCTTGTGTTCGAGTAGTAGCCTCGGCAAATAATGTAAAAATTGAGATAAATTCACGTAATACAGCTAAATCTTTCATCGAAAGTACTAATTCACCTTTCTTTTGTTCTGTTAGAAGGTCGTTTAGAAATACATTAGGTATATCAACAATTTTTGAAACTGTAATAAACTGTGAATTCCATCTAGTTATAATAGCTAATGAAATACTTAGTTTAAACTCCTGTAGCTTTTCGGCTACTGGAATACTTTTGTGGCTTAATTTAGCAATCTCGGCCACTTTTGCCATTGCAGACCGAGTGCATGCACTTTCATTTAAGCCATCTCTGACTACAAGCTGCAATGTATGAACGAAACATGGCAACCTTAACAATTCCTCTCGTTTGTCAAACTCGTTTTGACTTTCATTATCATCAGGACAATGTCCTTCGGACACGCTCAAGTTTATTTTATGTAGATCATCATCATCACTTCCTACTGTATCATCTTCAGTTATGAAATATGACTCGAAACCTGGTATTACTAATTCACCAAATGCAGATAAATTATTTGATGAATTATCTGTTATAAGTCGAACAATCTTATTTGTAATTGAAAATGCTGTTGAAGCACGATCATAATCCATAAACAAATTTTCACCAGTGTGATTACCTACAATATTTTATTAATTTATATATGAAACGAACGGATCATTATTTATAGTCGAATTCACAAGCGATTGATTTCCCTCATTGAAATACAAGATATTACTCTGTCTATTTTATTTTTTAATTTTTGTTGAATATATTTGTATACATTGAGATGACTCTGATTATTTATTTTCTTTCTTCTTGTCTTCATATTCTATTTTGCTTTTCGATTCTTATATGTCGTCTATGCACAAGTAGATACATAATAGATCGTTTTTTTTCTTTTACATAACAAATCGTCACTTTCTTTTCTCTTACGTAATCGCTTTGCGTATAAACACAAGTTATCAAAAAAAAAAATCCATACTTGTTTTGTTTCCTTAAATCAACGTACACGATATTCAAACTAAGGATATGCCCTCACATGACCTTTCATTTATCCTCGCTTTTTCTTCTGTTTCTCTCTTCTCTTTCTCATCTCTATCCCTAGATTCATCCTTCTTTATCTTGTATATAAATTGACTTATTGAATGTATCTGAAGGTATGCAACTTGTTTTCTTAAAATATAACAAGAATTCTAATTATAAAATATTTTTGAATTCGGACACATCTTATGAATATACAAAAGGATGAGGTATATTTCGTAATATTATACGAAATATTATATATATTTCCTAAAATTTGAGCTCATGATATTTCTATCTTGCTCATTTTTAAATGGAAAAAAAAGGTTAATGAAACATTTATTGTAAGCCTCCGTGAGATTTCATGAGAAATCACTCTAGTTTTAATATAAATCAAATAGGAAATCTTACCAGAAAGAGGATTAAAAGCGAGTAAATGTGCTTTTATTTGTCCCGTTTGATCAATATAATGCATTGTAACAGCATAAAATGCTCGCATACGACGATCCGTCCAGCCATCAAATGTTAATGAAAGAAAATCAGCTGATGAACATGCTTTTTTCAAATTGTTAGTAATCTGTTCATGTAATTTTGGTAAATAATCAGATGTGATTGACCGTCGAGATGGAACATGAAATTTTGGATCAACTGTTTTCATAGCTTGAATAAATGCAGGTTTTTCAGTAATTGATAATGGTAAATCTAATCCAATGATAAAGTCATTAAAAACCATTCGAGTTAATTCCACTTGACGAGGATGAACTGGCCCATATTTTGATGTATGAGAAGACGAAGATAAACTATCTTCTAAAGAAATTTGTTTCATCTTGTCCACGTGTTTTTCTTTATCTGATGTATTTTTTGACCACAAATCATATTCAGCTTTATGTTTACGTTGTAAATGACGACAATAATTTGACGTAGAATTTTTCACATCCCAAACAGTTTCTTTGCATAAAATACACGTGGCAGATGTTTTACCTTTCAGATCACCTGCAATATACTCTTTAAAATCTTCATAATATTGTTCAAGACCATGACGACCAATTTTTGTCTTCACTATGCAAGACATCTTGTCATCATTGGAAGAACTTATTTGTGTATCAGATGTTGGAAGTGTCAGGTCAATTGTTGCTACATCAGATGATGAATCCATTTGCATTCAGGTTGTTCACAAGTAATGAAAAATCAGAAAGATATGTGTTCGATGCACCGAATTGTTTAGCAAATAATATTTAATCACGTCACCAATGACTTTCTAAATTCTCTCTATATCTCTCTACTATGTTGAGCAAAAAGTTCGCGGTCACTTGCAAAAATTTTAATT